AATATATTTTAATTTTTATTAAAATAAATTTCATCATTAATCATTTTTAAATGTAAGTATTTTTTTGGTATATTTGTTTCATTTTATAGATGTAAGTACTTTTTTAGTTCAAAAAATGTTTAGGGACTTAATCGTTCAAAATGTAAAAGTTCTTTGGCTCTTTTTCAAACATTTTTTAATTATTTTACCATATTAACCAGTTGTATAGGTCATAAGAATTATCTAACAGGTTTTAAAAAGTCCAATGAGTTATTTAACAAGTTTTGAAATGTCCAATGACTTATTTCTTCAAAAAAAATTGTCGAATGACTTAATCATTTCAAACACTAAAATCCATTGGATTTTTTAGACTTTTCTTATTAAAATTCTGCAAATCTCTCTCTCTCTCTCTCTCTCTCTATATATATATATATATATTAGATTTTTGCTATGTTAGGAGGGTTTTAATAGCACCTTCAACTGTTTTTTTTTATAATTTTCTTAAAATGGAGAATCAAAACGTAACTTTCTAAAAAGAATTACAAACGAATCAATTTCGAACAGTGTATTATAGTCACAACACGAGCTGACGACAGCCATGCAACACCTGTATGAAAGTAAGTACCATCCCAGTCACATTGAACCTGAGCAGAAAGCTTGGGCCGAGCCATAATTCTTTATTAGAAAGGGCAGGTGGATGAGGGGGGTGAGTTGATATTAAGGTGTCATGCCTGTTGGGGCTTTGAAAAACTTATTGCCGTACCAAAGTACATAACACTACCCCCTAGAGTATTAGGGTTTTTATTTTTGTGTGCAAACCCCTATTTTAAAGATTTTAATATAAATTATATTATTATAATATTTTTTAATTTATCATTTCAAATACATTTAAAAAATCTTTTTATAAAAGAATAATAACTCAATCTCATTGGTGAAATTAAATAAAATAATTATTTCTCTCTCTAACATCTAGTTTTAAAGAATTCTCTATATTTAGAGTTTTCTCATAATTCTCTATTTTAGAGAACAAGATAGTAAAACTCTGCATTTTGTCATTACTTAATTGAACCTAAACTCAAGTAAAAAAATGGCGTTGAATATGTGGCAAGATCACGTCATTTTGTTTTTAGTTTGATTTTGAGATGATTTTCATATTGTTCCCACAACCACTATAATCTACATACCTAGTACCACCGTTATTAGGATTCACTCAACCTATTGTTGTTGTAACACCCCATAAGACCCATTGTCGTCTCGTCACCATCGTCCATGGTGATTGTCTACCCATGATAGTCGTTGGCACCCTCGAAAACCTATCAAACAACTATACTGCATTAAAGTAACGATATGGATTATTTCATTATCTCATCCCTTTAAACTAGTTGATAACGATATGGATAATTTTTTATATCTATAAATTAATGATTCATCAAGAATTCAAGATACCACAAAAGTCTTTTTATTTTATTTTTTATTAACCTGGATATTCAACCTGCTATGCGAGTCGACTATCCCAGGATGTCCACCTGCTTTGCAGATAGTACAGAGTCACAGCATTTGAACCTTCGTGGCCACAATGTGGTTTTTATTCCTCCTTGGATTTTAACCTGGAACCTCCCAGTAGTTTTGACCTTTTGGAGTCAAGCTCAAACCAATCAAACACCACCTTTGTGGTTCACAAGAGTCTTCATTTCATATCGTAGATATCAAACAATCATAAAAATAATAATTATTCTATATCTAATTTATTCCCATAAATATTCTGTATATTATCGAAAATATGATATATAATTGTAATGTAAAACTTTCAAACAACAATTAAAAAACTTTTTTCTCGATAAATATATAAACAATTTAAATTTACGCAATATATACGATAATATGTAATATCATACTAAAGGGCCTTTAGCCTAGCGGTTTGTGAGTTTTTGGCCTCCTAAAAAGTCAGGGGTTCAAACCTCACCAAAGGCAAGGAGG